ATCATAAAAATATGTGTACCCCATTATGTTTCAAATCATCATAATACAATGATAGGTGATGTATAGGGAGATAAAAGACATTGGCAATAATTAATATTTTACAACTGAATAATTTCAATAAATAATCAAGCTTCTGAACAATAATTGTCAGCAGCCCAATGGTACTAATCAAATGAAATAAGATAAATTCAGTTACTTAAGAATAGTAGAACATGGCCAATGGTTAGCCGTATGAAGAAACAATAAGGATCAAGATGTTTATGTGAAGAAGAACTGAAGTCATATCATCTCTTGCTGCACAACCAACTACTGGGTCGTGCTCTCTTTTCTAAGCTTTTATTATCACAGGTGAATCACTTGGGTGTTATAGTGCAAATAATTTTGTATGCCTACGAGCTTGAGGTTCCATCCCCGATGACAGTCAAATACACTCATGTCTTCTTATATCCCATGGTCGTCGTGCATCCTAAGTTCTGCCATGAGGGCACTTGGTGTCACGCCGCCAGGTGAACTGGAGGACTTGCACCACACTGGTGTGGCCCACGTCTTCACGTCGACTGATGGAGAAAGTAATCATTTGGGTGGTCAGCGCGTGAGGTGAAGCTTGCACTACAAGAAATCAAGAAATGCCATTGTTAGAAGAAATTTGTGAGCGGATCCTTAGTTTTGCATTAGTAATGTTCAACATGTCAACATTTCACCCGTCGGGTTCTGAAATTGGATAACTACGCAACCTTGTAAATGTTGGCCTCTTCAATACCAGGAATGGTGTTGACTCCTACTCTTTTCAAAATGCTTTGAAGTCTCTTGTCATCAGTGGTCGTGGTCTTGTGCACTTCCTTCTTCTTCCCATCACCAGTGGAAGGAAAAGTAAGTATAACAAGCAGAGAAAAGTTTCATATTTTTGTACTCTAAGCTGATATGTGTACACTAAATGGCATTCACCGAAAGATCAATTTAGAAATGTGACAATAGCATGCTTGGATGATAATCAGTATGCATAGCTAGCACGCTTCAAATTTGGCATTTCTACACAGGATATCAGCAATGGTTCAAAGGGCCCACAAATTATTGATTCTGGGGAAATATTTTAGATCTGAGACAAACTATTTACACAGGTAAAATGGATACTTGTAGAACAGATAACATGTTGAAAGTGGGAAATGGTACTGCTTGTAGCAAAACCAATGACACTACCTATGGATGACAGGTTAACATAGAAAGCACATGTGCACGCTGCCCTTTCCTCCAGCACAGGGCACCAGCCATCTTCTTCAGCTTGTCAACACTCATATTACAATAGTCATCCAATTTCCTATATGAACCAACAAATTATTTTTGCCTCCATAACGAAACTTTCTGAAGCGTCTAATGTTTCTCTTCCTCTTAATCTTCGGTTCTATAAAAAGCTCACCCATCAATCTAAAGAAAACATGGGGGCGGGGGGACAAGGACAATTGCATGATCAGATCCGTAATGAAACTTGTTGACCTGCTGGGCCTAATGTTTCTCTTCCTCTTAATCTTCATTTCTATACAAATTTCATCCATCAATCTACACAAAACAGGAAGAAAAAAAGGACAATTGCATGATTAGATAAGAATGCAGTTACATGGGATCAACATAAATCGTTTGGTCTAATGGGCTGAAAAAAATAACAGATAAAGTACAGGTTGACCAAAATGTGAAATCTATCAAAAGAGCAAATGAGATTATATAGTACACTAAAACACTATGTACCAACTCAAATTTATCAGTGTTCATGCACATAGAGCAAATTGTTGCCCACTATAGAGAATGAAAACAAAGATGTGCACTAAGACATTAAAGAGTTAAACAGAAATAATATACTGTCGCGATGAACACCTATCAGGGTGATGGGATGAGGAGTCAAAATGATCCCGCAAAGTCAGTATACAAAGTTTAGAATTAATCACATAGGTATTGTATTAGTATTGATCCTAAATTGCATTACAACTAACACGTCGAGTACAGGTAGAGGAAATAATGCCCTGCTGATAGGTTCTATGATTGACTCGATGACTAATTGTGGTTCTAGTCGAGAGGTAGATCAAGGCACATCCCATCAGCAGTTGGGAGATGAACATCATGGAGGCCATGGATCAAAATAGTGGAATGGATCAAAACTATGGGCGTGGACATGGAGATTTGGAGATGCTGGTTCGTGTAAAAAAACAGGAATATACCTCAAGGCGTGGACGACTGGACGCCGAAGACCTTCGCGATGCCCTTGGCTGTCCTGCTCAGCCCCTCCCTATTTCCTAGGTACCTCTGAGCGCCCGCTTTCCTGTTCGTACGGCGACGTCTAACCTGCTTCTCGGACATGGCCTTCGCTCCTCCGCCACCTTCCATTTCCCCCTTGCGGGCCTCCGCATTGGAGCCCCCGACCACCATCGCCACCATTCAGAGAGAGACAGGAGACAGAAGATGGAGCGGGCCGTCGATGGGAAAGGAGGAAAGCAGAGGTGGGGATTGATGTACATGGGCCTCGAAATACCTATGTTCGTCCTCCAAACAGGGAAGGCCGGGACGGTCTCCTCCAATCACGGCAACGCTACCACGCCCTTGGGGATCCGCGGCGGCACCGACGTGACCTGTTACGTCCGCAATGGCGATCCAGAACCATGGCGATGATCCCGTAACGTGGAGGTCAGTGAGATCGGCGGCGGCGGCGATCTTGTGCATCTACGTCAGTTCGTAGATCGCACGACAGTGGCGCTGTGACCTCGAGATTGCACGACGGCGGTGTTGTGTCCTCAAGGGGGTCGACAGGAGTGATTTTTTGCGGGGTATTTTTAGGGGGGGTGCAGTGATCTGCACGGGTGCGCCGGCCGAACGATTCGGACGGTCGGCTGCCCACCGTCGGATCGCTTTGCCCAGGGTCGTTAGATCACGCCCTTCTATCGCCCCCTTCCTCATGCGCATCAACGACAATGGCGCCCTTCATCCCCGCGGCGCTGTTCGTGCTGGGCACCCGTCATGGACGCTTCGAGGCCTGACCGTGAAGCATCACCAGCTTGTCGCCGGTCGCCGTCCTTGCCGCCGGTCGCCGTCCTCGTCGCCGGCTCGCGGCCCTCGCCCCCGGTCGTCGGTCGTCGTCCTTGTCACTGCCCGGTCGCCGTCCTCACCCCTGTCGCCGGTCGCCGTCCTTGTCGCCACCCGGTCGCCATCCTCGTCGGCACTGGTCGTTCGCCCGGCTCCCCCGGTTGAAGCTTTTTTTGTCATTACCGCTTGAAGCTTTTTCTCGTGCCGGGTGAATCTTTTCCAATGCCGTTTGAAGCTTTTTCCACCATTGAAGCTCTTTTCCGCGGTGGAAGTTTTTTCCTCATGTTGGTTTCAGCAAAAACACTTGCCGGTTGTAACATTTTTTGCATGGATGCAGCTTCGTCGTGCAGATGCTCGACGGTGGTAGCTTTTTTTGTCACCTGATGTAGCTTTTTTTAGTTGCCGGCTCTAGCTTCGTTTTCTTCGGTTGCAGCAAAAGGGCAGCGGCCGGCGTCGGGCCTCGTAGCCCATGCTCTCGCCAGGTGCCAGCTTTTTTTAGCTGGTTCTCGCCGGGTGTCACCGATGCAGCAAAATTCATCGCCGGTAGTAGCAAAACCAACAAACAGTTGTAGCAAAAAAGGTCACCCGTTGTCTCACCGTGACTGTTTTGTAGCAAAAGCAGATACAGGTTGTAGCACCGAGGCTGGCCGATTGTAGCAAAAAATCGCCATGGTTGTAACCTCGACGTCGCGCTGGTTCCACAAAATTTGCGCCGAGGGGTTGTAGCACCGAGGCTCATCGGTTGTAGCAAAAAAAATACCATGGTTGTACCCCCCCCCCCCCCGTCTGCCAGTTCCAGGAAATTTGCGCCGCGGGGTGTGGTCCTGCCATGGCTGGTTGCAACTCCGGCGTGGTCGGGTCCGACGAGGTAGGCAGAGCTCTGATGCATGCGGATCCACGTGGATCTGGTCGAGGGCGGCCAGATCGGCTGATTCCCATGACGGCGGCGCCCCTGGGAGGCCTCCGGCGCGGGGCGATGAGTTAACCATGGCAGCGGGGAGAGAGATGAGCGAGAGGAAGAAGAGAAAAAGGGAGGAGAAGACGCACGTGCCCCCCCCCCCAATCCTACGTGTCGCTAGGCGAGTCGTTGGGCGCGTTTGCGCATGGATGCGACCGATCGAAGCTTCGGCCGGTGCTTCGTCGTGAAACGTTTTCCTTATTTGGGCTGCGTGCGTGGGTTGGGGTAGCGGAGGGGGACGAAAAAACCCAGTGGAAAGAAACCGGACAAAAGTAATGTGCCGAGAAAAACCTGGACGCAATCCTGATTTTCCGAAAGCCACGGAAAGGAAGCTACCGATTACACCACAGCTCCTAATAAGAAAAGAAGAAAGCAAACTCCCCACAAGACTATGAAAAAAACGTAGCTCCGGAGGATCTCCAACTCTGAATCTCGTCATCAGGTCCACGACTCTGAAACTAGAAATTCCAATCAAATGTAAAATACTAACAAAGTCCAATTAAAATCAAATGTAAAATAAAAAAAAGGCTACTCAATCAGTAATAACAAAATAAAAAAGTATGGAGGCTGCGCCGCTTCACTCGGCACGCACTCAGCCCATACCGCCGGGTACACACGACCCCCACCAGCGAACGGCCCGAAGCGCCACAACCTAGGCTTCGGTGCGTCTCGTGAACCCACTCTCTACGAGCGCCGCGAACGTGCACAGTTCCGCTCACTGACCGGTGGCGGCCCACGGCTCCGCGAGGCATGGCCCCACCTGCCAGTGTCGGTAGCAGGTTCCCAACGGTCACCGCAGCACGCGGCGGGGTAAACCGGGCGGTCGCGCTATATATGACCCCACCACGCACGCACTGGCAAAACCTCAATCTAACCGTTGGGGTTTCCCGGCTTCCTCCCCTTCCCCCCAAATCCTCGCCGCCGCACCACCTCGGAGAAAGAGAAGCCCCGGCCGCCGCCGCCGCCGAAAGAAGCCATGGCCGCCACCCAGCCCATCGCCAGCGCGGAGGCCTCCCCGGCAGCACAGGCGAAGCGCCGCGGCCGGCCCCCCAAGGCCCCGCTGGCGGCCGAGGTCGAGGCGCCGAGGACCCCGTCGCCCGTGTCCCCGCTTACGGCCGCGGCGGAAGGCTACGAGAGGGAGCGGGAGGCGAGGATCAAGGAGAACATGGAGCGGATGCAGAAGCTCGGCCTCGTCGACCTCGCCACCCGCTTCAACCAGTCCGCCACCCCCGCCGGCACCGGCACCGGTCGCGGCCGCTGGCGACGGAGGCCGGAGACGCCGGGCTCCCCCGACGCCGCCGCTCCCAGGATCAGGACCGCCTCCCCGGTGCCGGCGCGCCGGTCCCTCAGGTTCGTTTGCGGCGAATCTAATCTTCTTGGCATGTAGCTTCTCCTGTTCGGTTTATGGGAGGAATCCACCGACTTCTTGTGCAGCTTATTGTTCTTGTGTTCACCATTTTCATCCCACTGCAAATGCTCTTCTTCTTGCGCAGCTTATTATTCTTGTGCGTCTATTATCAAGTATGAACATGCTAATTTCGTTCCCCTTTTGCAGTACGAATATGCCCTTTTTTCATGTTGTAAAATTTGCTAGTATAACGTCAAATCCGGCATTGATTACTTCCATATATTCCCCTTCCCGGCCGTTTGTTTCATTCTGACTACTACTTTTGGTAGTATTTAAATGCTTACCCTCTAAAATTGGCATCTCTAATCTTAGTTTCCCGAAATAGGTTTATTTCTCATGGGATATTTACAGTCCAGTTCATGCCACAAGTTCAGATTCAGTAGCGTCCCTTTCTTGTGTACATGAAGACAATTTACATAGATTCCGTTTACAGTACGTCAAGTTATTTTAGGGGCGTTTCCTTTTTTGATCTGACGGTCTAGATTAGGCAATACTACAGAAGGATTCTTGTACTTGTGTTGATTGAGTTCAAGGTAGTTGGTTGATAATTTTTTATATTCATTTCCTTCAATCCTCAACATTAATGTGAATCTTCCTCTTTTGCGATCATGTTCAATTTAGGTTGAAGAGCGTGGAGCCAGTTAGATATGTTGAAATTTGTGAAAAGAAGGAGAAGGGTCTTGATGGTGGAAGGCCTTTCTCTATTGAGGAAGGGTGCAAGGAAGAAGTCTACACTGAAGAGCATGAGAAGCTTTTAGGTACATGTGGCACACCCTGGACTCTCTTTGTGGACGGTTGTGGCAAGGACGGTAAGCGCATCTATGATCAAGTGAGGGGCCAAACCTGTCATCAGTGCCGGTAAGTTTCCCCCCAAGAACTGTCTGGGATCGTCGCAACTTTTCTACACCTTCCTTTGCTAGGCCGTTCTCATGTATGCAGTGTGCTGAACTTACAGCATAAATAGCAGCATTAGGATGAACATATAACACTTAGTGTGTGGTAAAAAGGGTCTGATATTCTTAGTGTAAAGAGAATGTAAAAAGTAACAAGACATGCTGTTGGAATGCAGTTGCACCTTGTGGTGTAACAGAAGATTTAGAAGTTTTCTTGAGGATGCATGATGATAACTTTGTTTTTGTTTGTCATCTTTTCTCAACCCTGACACAAGCATTATCCTTCCATGATACAGCCAGAAAACTCTGGGTCATCATACAAGATGCTGTAATTGCCAGATTGTCCAAGGGCAGTTCTGTGGAGATTGTTTGTACATGAGGTGAGTTCTTTTTCAAAAAATTGAATTTTGAACATTCTAGGGGAAATGAAACATACAATTTTACGTTAATTTACTGTGAGCAGGCGCGCTTCTGTGAAATATTTGTTACCAATCTGTCTGGTAATATATGATTATGCATACATTAATGTTTTGTAATAGGGTTTTATCTGCATCATAAAGGTTGACAGTATTCAAGGTAGATGAACAGAAAAATGGAAACATTCTGACTTGCAGTTTATGAAACATATATGATTTATAGTGTCCAAGTTATGTCATCTGAGGTCCTAGTTCTGATTATTTGGAAAGCTTGTGGGATCAAAACACGGAGGGCTGGGGGAATTTTGATCTTGAATTCATTATATCCCCCTAAATTCTCACTGGTTCCAAATTGATAGTGAGATTTCACCTCCATTTTGTTACTGCAATGTTGTAACAGAAAGATTAGCCGATGGCTGTGTATTTTTCATTGGACTGGCATTTTATAACTAATGCAGGTATGGTGAGAATGTGCTGGAAGCTAAGAGCAATCCTAATTGGACATGTCCAGTTTGCCGTGGCATTTGCAATTGCAGCATCTGCAGAACTAAGAGAGGATGGTTCCCTACTGGCAATGCGTACCGGAAGGTAATATACTACAGCATATATGCTTTCAGAATGGAATGAGATTGTGTTTCCATGACTGTTAGTTGTACTTTTAAAGGGGGATAACCCCCCGAAATTTCAGGAATCGACTGCTTAACCCCCTGAACTACAAAACCGGGTGTTTAACCCCCTAATCTTTGCAAAACCAGACAAAACCCCCCCTAAGTCTATGTTAGGTGGTTTCTATAGGTGGTATTGCTTACGTGGCAATATATAATAGTCAAAGAAAAATGATGTCTTCCCACCTGCGGTGCCCCGCGCTCCGTCGCCGCTGACTTACAGCAGGGTGGCCCTCCTGTGGATGCAGCCACTATCCATGTCATCGCTGAAGCTCTCTGTCGGCGGCGCTCACATCTTGGCGACGCGCGCTCCTCCGCACCAGAGTTCATGGCGCTCTCGTGCGATCGCTTCTTCCTAAGCTCATGCGTGTGACTCGTCCGATCTCATCTCCGATCCTATATGCTCCTGAGCACGCGTTTCCATGACGAATGGGCAGTCCATGGCACAGGGATGCTTATTAGCTTTGCACGGAGAGTCTTCCACCTCCTCCCGTGTGATGCACCCATCGTCGTTCCTGGGGAACAGCTTAGTCGGAGTCAGAGATGCCTGAAGTCGAACAGCTATAGACGGCGACGGTGACGAAGGAGTGTTCTCATGTCAAGTCAACACGTCCCAGATGACGAACTGTACGACGCGTCACACTACTTCTGTCTGAGATCGGCAAGCTCCGCGAGGCTACCACATCAAAGACGCTGCATACTCCTTTGTCCCGGTTCCTATCTATCCCTATGTTTCTTGCTTTCTGCAACACCGCCTTGAACCATTCAGAGAAAGAAGCATTAGTTGAAATAGCGGAGAAACAACGTGTTGAAACCGCTTATAGCAGGGTGAGGGGGTTATGTGTCTGGTTTTAGAAACATGAGGGGGTTAAATACCTGGTTTTGTAGTTCAGGGGGTTAAGTGGCCGATTCCTGACAGTTCAGGGGGTTATATGGACTTCTTTCTACTTTTAAATGACCAAAGTTGGAAGAAACATAATAGAGCCAAAGTCACAATCATTTACTGGGGTTATATTTTTTGTTGCTGCTAATTGCTCGAACAGTGCTAAGCAAGCAGGTGTTTTTTTCTGTCATGCAGGTTGTCAGGCTTGGGTACAAATCCGTGGCACACTATCTCATTGCAACAAATAAGGCAGGAGCAAACTCAGGAGATTCAAGCTCAGCTGACTCCTCAAACGAGCTGCCATCTGCCGATGAGGTCTCTGAGCACGCACCAGTTGCCAAGCAGGATGCTGATCTGAGCAGCAACGCTATGAATGATGCTGGTGAAGTTGAGCAGAAGGAAGGAAACATGAAGAAGAAGGCAGCTGTCAAGGATGAAGCCAAGGCCCAGAGGAAGAAGATCACTGCTGATCTGAGCAGCAACGCGATGAATGATGCTGGTGAAGTTGAGCAGAAGGAAGGAAACATGAAGAAGAAGAAGGCAGCAGCTGTCAAGGATGAAGCCAAGGCCCCAAGGAAGAAGATCACTGCTGATGTGGTCTGCAAGGATGATGGCAGGAGCGAGTCCGGGGTGACATTTGATTCTCTGGAATGTCACCAGGATGTCGGCTGCGTCACTCCATCCAAGCCGGAGCCGAAGAAGAAGAGGAAGTGGGTCGAAGCAAGAAGCCCCGACTGCGTCGCGGGCAGGCTGCGCTCCCGGTCTGCTCCCAAGTCATGAGCACTTGATCTGTCACTGGCATGATTCTGGTTTGTGGTGTGTTTTGGTTCGTTAGTCGTCGTCGTTTAGTTGCTGTAGGTAATTGCGGGAAGCAATGATGGACGTGGCTGGTGTGGTGTGTGGACTTGCTGTGTATGACCCCTCCATTTTGTTGTGACCTTGACGCTCTGGTTTATCGTGTTGGCCTATCAACCTAGTGTTTCTGTTCATGCGTGTTGTGATTAGCTATTTATGTTGTGTTCATCGTGTGCCCTGTGTAGTTTGATTTTTATATATCTCTTAAAATGTCTGGTCTCTTGTGTTTTCATCATATAAAGATCTTTCCTCTGAATCTCGCATGACAAAATACCTCTTGTTCTCTTGTGTTTTCATCATAATATATTCGATCTCGCTGCATCAAGAACTGAAACCGAGCGCCCCGCTAGGGTTTCTCCAGCCGCCTCCGGCGAGGGCGGCGCGGCCGACGGCCGGCGAGGAGGGCACCGCGGGCCAAAGTGACTGGGCACGGGGGAGCAGCACATCTTGGAGGTTCCGAAAAACGCGATGAACGGCCGGAAAGGTGAACGGCGGGAGATCACCGGGGAGCCAGCAAGCCCCAAAGGCAGCGGAGCGGCCGGGCTCGCCGGAGCGAGGGAGCCGGGGAGTTTCCACGACGCGCGGGCGGGGCCAAGCTCAGCCCGCCCAGCGACCCCCCACCCAGCGGGGCGCCGGCGGCGATGGCCACCCACAGCCCGCAAGGCGCCGTCTTGCTCTGCGGCCACCCGAGGCGAACTCGGCAGCCGGCGGAGGTGCCGAGCCCGCGCGCGAGCAGTCGAACTCCCACCCCTGGGAGTAAGGCCGTCGGCGGCACGGGGCAGCGGAAGGCAATCCGGCGCGGGCAGGGGGACACGGTCGTGGCAGACCGACGCGGCCGGGGGGCGCAGGGGCCAGAGGGGAAGCGCCGGCGAGACCGTCGACGGCCAGGGACGGGGGTGAAGAAGGCGAAGGCGGCGCAGGGGGGGGCGCGTCGGGGGCGTCGCCCCGCGGGTCGCCGCAGTCGCTGCTAGCCATCTTTCACCTCCCCGGACTAGTTATCTGATACCTTTTTACTATTCACTAGTTAAATGCTAGCAACAATGCAAAGTGTGTGCATTCGTTATTCTACTTTGTTCACTGTGTGCAATAATTCGAAGTCAATGCGAAATACATCTGTTATGTTATTTTGTACATATGTTTAGTTTATATTTACCTCATAGCTATATACTAGCATACCCGCGCGGCGGCAGGCCGCGCCATGTCGATACATGGTGTTTTTCTTATATGCACTGAATTTCAAATCGAAGTAACAGAACTGCGGTGCTAAGGTTGTATTGTCAAAAAGGAAACTAATGCATAGAAGCAAACTGAAAAGGATACATTTATTGTCAGCATGCGTGGTGCACCTTAGATATCAGGAAGTACATGTTGACACTTTCTTAATAAGACTAAATGTCATACATTTATTTCTGACGTACATCATTCTACTTATTTCCAATCTAACGTGCAAGAAAATTGAACAACACTAAAGCGCACACTTTTGAACTAAATGTGAACCAGCAACGGGAAAAATAATAAGGAAGTAGTTGCAGGGCAAAAGCACATTATTTCGTGCGTGTTTGGGGTGGCCTATTTGTTAGTGTAAACGATGTTGGTGGCACTACTGGATCAAAGCATGCATTACTCTATGGATTCAACATATTCTAAGTGTAAAAGGAAATTTAGAAAAACAAATACCATTTTCTAAACAATAGCAAAATGGGGGAAATCATGCATCATAAATAAAATTGTAATTTCAGAAAAATATTGTTTGCAGAAAACAAGGTGTGGCACTAAGAGGAGTGTCACATACAAATAAGATGGATGTTGTGCGCTCAGAAAAACTGAAAGTAAGAATTATCACCCAATTCGGAAATTGTTCACTAACTGAAGCAAAATGCTTAATTTGCTCTTCTTAGTTCCTTCGTTCAGCAGTAACAAAAGAATATCGATTATATAATCCATACACATTTGTGTTTAAAGAAACATAGATGCTCTAATTTATTTTTCAAAATTGGCATGTTCTAGAGAATATAATATAGGTATTAAAGAAACCATCGCTGACATAGTGGTACTTTCAGCGTGTAGAGTTTTACGTACAAATTAGATAGATCATAACGAAGAAGGTAGGTAGATAGCATGCCATGTGGAGAACTGGGCATAGACCCAAACAGCCAACACATGTGCTTCCAGCCGTCCATGTCATGCTAGCTCAAACCACCTTATTTGACGGCCAATGATCTGCGCCGGTCGACCGGCGGAGCGTTGGGCCGGTCCATCATGGGTCGTTGGATGGTCTTGCATGCAGCCGTTAGATGAGGATCTTTTCTTTCGTCCACTCGTTATCCTCATTGCATGCACCTCATATCATCAGAATCCTGCGTACTCTCGATCCTCATAATCCTTCGTGTCGAAGCTTACCTCACGCTGCGTCCTCGCCCGACCTCGCTGCTGATGCAGCTTGTGTCCCCCATCGCAGCAAGCTCCTGCTGGTTTGCCACTTCAATGGCCACTGCCAAGATAGCAGCACCGCCATGGCCACTCACCCCGCTGACTATTGTGGAGGTCTTCATACTTTCTTCTCTATGTCTCGCGTACACGTCTCGGCTAAGGACTCCAGGTCCAAACAACAGTTCTATTATTGGACGGTCGCAACCCAGAACAACACCGCTCGAGCTCGTTGGCTCACTGACCCGCGCTTGCCATCGGTTTCTCGCGCCGCCGTGCCGCAACAAGTCGCCGTCGTCGTGTGCAAGGTCGCCGTTGTCGTGACCAGCATGGGGGCACACCTTCGCATCTCCACCACCAGCCAACGTTGCAGCTGCGCCACCACCACCGTCCCCCGTCCCGGCAAATCGACTCTATGGTCATGAGTTTTCATCTCACCATCGCTGCATGTAGCTCCCGCCGTTGACGGTTTTAGCATCCGTCGATGAAGGTTGTAGCATCGCCGGTGGCCGCTTCCAGCAAAAGAACGCTAGGGGTTGTAGCTTCACGCCCAGACGGTTGTAGCATCCGTGTCTTCTGCTCGCAACTCTTCGCATTGCCGATTCCAGCATCACCGGCAGCCGGTTGTAGCATCCTCGTCCGCTTTTCGCAGCTCCTCGCACTGCCGGTTCCGCATCGCTGACAGCCGGGTGTAGCAAAAAGCGATTCTGGTTGTAGCAAAAGGAGACATGGTGGTAGCAAAAATGTGACGCGGTCGTGGTTGCATCTTCCCTGATTCGTGGTTGTGGCCGCCGCCAGCCACAAATGCCAATTGTAGCAAAATTCCTTGCCGGTCGTAGCAAAATCCGACAATGGATGTAGCAAAACTTCGTCACCGCCATCACGGTTACAGCTTCACCATGAAATCAATGTAGCAAAAAAATCTCGCCGGTCGTAGCAAAATCTGGCGATTGATGTAGCAAAAAATCTCACCGGTCGTAGCAAAATCCGGCGATGGATGTAGCAAAACATTGTTACCGCCCTCGTGGTTGTAGCTTCACCATGAAATCAATGTAGCAAAAAATCTCCCCGGTCGTAGCAAAATCCGGTGATGGATATAGCAAAACATTGTCACCGCCGTCACGGTTGCAGCTTCGCCATGAAAATCCATGTAACAAATTTATCGTGCGCCGGTTCCAGCTCGCCAACTTGGTAGCTCCCCTGTGCGGCGGATGACGCAGCAGTCCAAGGCTCCCATTCCAGCAAAGACGCAGCAATCCAAGGCACCCATTCCAGCAAACTTGGTTGCCGATCCAAGCAAAATTGGACGCCGGTTCCAGCTCTTCGCCTTGCTGGTCCCAGCAGCCTGCGGTCGTTGCAGCAAATAGGCTCGCCGGTTCCACTCGCCGCCATGCTGGTTCCAGCATCAACGGACTGCGGTTGCAACTTGCGGCATGCCGGTTACAGCATCACGTCCGCGTGTCTCCATGTCCCGGCCCAGTTGCAACACCTCGGTTCGCCGCTTCCAGCTTTTCCTGACTGCGGTTTCCGAGCTCCGCGCCCCCACGGTTCAGTATCTGACGGTGCCCAGCCCAGCTCCACGCACAGATTATTGTAGGCTTGTAGCATCGGGGGACACCGGTCCCAGCTCCACACGCTGATGGTTTCAGCACGCCATGATGCAGGTTCCAGCTCCGGGTGTGCAGTTGGTAGCCAAGACAGCGGCAGCTCCGGGTGTGCAGTTGGTAGCCAAGACAGCGGCAGCTCCGGCGTGGTGCGCGGCTGCCGCAAACTCGTGAGGCCCGAAACAACGGGCGGCCGCGCATGGGGTAGATTGCGTGAGGGATGGAAGATGGCCACCAACACAATGGTCGGCTGCAGTAGCAAATTATGGATTCAGCTCTCACGTGGTTGGGGGAGGAGTATGCGTCTGCAGCAACATTAGTGGAAGAAGACGTTGAGATAGGAGAAAGAACAGGGAAAGGAGTGGTCAAGATCACGGGAGCGAAGATAAGGTTTGACTAAGCCAAAGAAAAAGTGGCGCGACAGGCTACAGTAACGCAGCTTGGGTGCGAGCAACGTGAGACCGGCCCAAAGTTCCGCCGGTCCGCCGATTATAAAGGTTTCCCTTATTTGACTTGTTTTCATATTTTTCAGTTATTAATGCAATCTTATTCTTTGTGCTACCACCACTATGAGCGCCTTCAGTTACAGTCTAGTAGCAGGTTTGCCTGGCCTGGAGCGCCCATAGGACCTGCATGTACTTTCTGCAAACTAAATAACCATTGGCTTGAGGCATACCTCTCGCGTACTCGGACACTGCCATTGGTTCCTCTCGGCTGCTCCGTGGCCATCCATGATGCTGGCCTCGTTGTTACGGGCAGCGGCGTCCGCAGATGGGGAGGTGTGGCGGCGCGGCCCACCCGTCGATAGTGAGCGCCGAGGAGTGGTCGGGCCGACCCCGCATGTGCCGGTGGCAGGCAGGATGCTAGTGCCGGTGGCAGGCAGGATGCTAGTGC